TGATTGTACTTTTCCATTCGGGGTCCTGGAGTTTGCACTTATTTGGGTTTCCTACCATCACAAACAATCCGTCAACTTTTCATATAATTAGAGTTGCATTTCTACCTAAGGATGTTGATTTTTAGAAGGCAGCTGTCTAAAGTTGTGAACTAGAACATAGTTTGTGTAACATTATCAATATATTATTAGCTGTTTGATTATGTAGTCAAGCCAAAGGATAGTGATATCAGCTTTGTGTCTGATGTTGTAGAGAGTAATACATAAAATGCATTACGATTCTGATACATGGACTTGTAGAGGACAATGTATAATTCACTCTTCTCATTTCTTCTCGTTTCTGGTTCAAACACATATGGATGAATTCATCTAATATTGCCACTTGCCATTGTGTACCATTTGATAAAGTTAACTGAGTGAAAGCAGATCAGGTAGTATGAGCCGGTGTGATTTTATGGAGGCGGGGCTAATTTGCATATTCACGTTTTCCAGTATACTTAATGAGGCAAGAGTGTAGAGTTATATTCAAGCCATTTTAAGACATTAAGACAGTATTTTATTAGGAAGAAACTTTGAATATGCAATTTTTTGATTATCAAAGATGAGTTTTAAGGCATAAAATTAGTGACTGCAGGGGGATTTTAGGGCACACAGTAAATTAGTGATACATAAAGAGGATTAAGTCATATCGTGTGTGTGTGTGTGTGACTTTCTACATTGCTTATAACTTTATACATTACTTATATTGAAAATACCTGCCAGGATTCACTTACTTTGTCGCCAAAAAGACCTTAATATAGACGCGTGAACTGTGTTCGCAGACAGTGCAAGAGTTGATGTGGGATCTCAGTGTCAGTGAAATACGCACTATGGCACAGATTCAGTCGAGTTATAAAGAGATTAAATCGCCCTCCTCCTGCTGATACCAGGCCATCAACTCTCTCTTTCTCACCGAGAACAGCTGGCCACTGTGACCCAGGGAGAATGGAAATCAAGCTTTAAGAAAGACAGAGAAGCCATTTTCGTTGGCACCTTCCTCACAACTCTGGGGAAGTTGGCCGATTGTTCAAAACCGCCATCTGCTCTTTGCTTTGAACTTCCGATCAAAAGCTGTCATCTCACCACTGCCCCCTCCCCAACCCTTTTATTTTATATAATTATTTTTTTTAGATCGCTCCTCTCCTCCAATCCCATTGTTACGGGGGCTGTCATTGTTGCAGCCGCGTTTCAGACCTTCGTGCTCTCCCTGCTGATGAAGCGGAGGAATTAGCGGAGCTGCATTTTGATGGCCTGTCATGTGCTGCCCAGGCCGGAGAGACTCATGCATTTATACATCAAAGTGACAAACAGACTTCTTTATTAAGACACTGTCTGTCCATAGATTTGGGGGTCACAGGGGGTCTTGGCAAGCTTCTGCCAGCCTGCCTCTGGAGCCAGGGCCTTTGAGAGGCACTAGTCAATCCTCTAGGGCCAAACGTCCATCTAAAATGCTTATTTCATTATTTAAAACAGAAAGTTAATGTCACTCTTCAGTTTTGTCATAAGTAGATGACACTTTAGATGGCTTTCCTGTCCCTTTCCTGTCAAGGGTCACTCTCAAAAGACGTGAACTGACATCAAAGGCAATAATGATGCATGTGCTTCAAAACAGCTAAGGCTAAAATTAATGTTAACATCATTCAGTGTTTTTAAAGGGACAGTTCAGTCAAAAATGAAAATTCTGTCATCATTTACTCACCAAGTTATTCATACAAGTTGTTTCAAACCTGTATGATTTTCTTTATTCTATTGAACACAAAATAAGATATTTTGAAGAACATTAGTAAGTAAACGGTTCATGTAGCCATTGATTTCCATATGATTTTTTCCCCCTCCATATCATGGAAATCAATGGCTGCCAACAACAGTTTGGTAACCACCTTTTTTTTTTTTTCTTATGATAAAGTACACAATGAAGCTCTTATTTAAGGAGAGGACCAAACTGAGCAAAAATATGCAATTTGGTGAAATTGCTTATACTGTATTTATATGGCCAAAATGTAAGATTAAAGTTTGATAATCTAAATATATGATATTTATAATGTCACTCAATGAAAATCTTTCTAACAGTATAGCAGACTCTGTATCCTCCAATAATGTCTTAGATGAAAGCTCTGTAATTTTTAATGTGTTGAACATTTAATGCAATGCAATGCAATGATGAATGTGAGATAAACAAATAAACTGTCCTCAAAAGCCTGATGATCATATTTGATACTTGATTTGGTAAGTGATTTTTCAAAAAATAAATAAATATATATATATATATATATATATATACTTACTGTCAGTTGCTTCAGTCCAGTAAAATGTCATCTTAAAATATGTCTAATATGTGCTAAAAAGTGGTAGCACTTTATTTTAATGTCCAATTCTCACTAGTTGCTTATTAGCATGCATATTTCTAGCATATTAAGCACATATTAATGAGTTATTGTGCATGACCATGTTCCAGATCTCTTAACTTGGCACAATATCTCAACTTTACAACTATCTTACTAACTATTAATACGCAGCATATTAGGAGTTTATTGAGGGAAAACTCTTAGTTAATAGTGAATACATGTTCCCTAATCTAAAGTGTTTAGTTTTTCATACATTTACTTTATAAAAATCAGTAAAGATTTCACAGCAAAAAGGCACATGAACCATAAGCTAAAGGGTGTGTTTATAATTATGCTAAAGGCCTTCTTTACTGGCTAAAACTATCAATCAGACGACAGAAAGCATGGAGTACATTGTGTACAAGTTTCTATCATGTTCATAATGCAATAGGGTTAAAAATTGTCAATATCATAATAAATGATGCTTCTGCCAATATAGACCATTAGCCCAGCTGTAGGCTGTTCATCTCAAATAGGCATTTGTAATATACAATCTGTGATTAACTATCTGTTTTATAAGATGTATCAGACAATAAACTGACCTGATATCCTCCTACCGGCATGCTCAATTAGACCGAGTAAACGCTTTACACGTATCCTGCTGGTAACCGGGCAGCACACAGCACTGATCAGTTTGTCCGTGGAATGACGGCTGGTGTTGTTCAGCCAGAGAACAACCTGGCACAGGTGTGTGTGGTCGAAAAGGCAGATGGGGGAAAGGGCAGCACCTGCATCCACCGCTGGGATGCCGCTCTGCCCAGCTGTGCTCCTGCAGGCCACATACTGCTCTTCAGCGCAGACATGCACCCACACACAACAGCAGCGCCCCGGTGACACTCCAGCTGAGTCAGGCCTGTGTTCTTTTGCTCCGCTGATCTGTGTTGTTGAATACAGCCGTGCCAGCACAGACTAAATTAGTGTTACTTGAGTGTAATAGGACACAGAAAACATATAAGTAGAATAGCTGGCTCTCAAACGCATGACTGGCACTGGGTTTCTCTTTCTCTCTTTCTCTCTCTCTTTCTCTTCTCTGTCTTTATCTGCTCCCCGTGGACTCTGAATCGCTGATGTGTGCTGCTTAGCTTCTGCGCTTGCCACTGTCCATTCTTGGTAAAAGCCCGACAATTAGGTCTCTTTTCCTTTTTTTAGCCTCCCCAGAGACCCATAAAGCTGTTTTTGTTGTACATCGTCGCTGTTCTCAGTGGGCAATGCAAAATTAGTCCTGGCATGAGAGGCATATGAGGGACATACTGCATCTAATAATACTATTTCACATTTAAATATGCTAAACAAAGATTTTTGGTAACACTTTAGATTAGGGGACACATATGTATTATTATCTAAGGGTTTTCTCTCAGTAAGCTCCTAATTTGCTGCATATTGGTAGTGAGTAAATAGTTATGTTTTGGGTTAAGGGATCTAGAATATGATCATGCACAGTGTTGGGAAGCATAATAGTTACATGTAACAGAATATCGTAATCTAATTACAAAATAAATGTAACTGTAATCTGTGAAAAAAAGTGTAATTAATTAGTTACATACGAAAATGTAAACAGTTACATCTGAATATTTTCACACACACCCACATACAGATTTGATAGATTACTTTCCAAAATTGCACTGACTGCTCTAAAATATGAGACACCAATGTTTGAGGAGTTTAGGACGCAGAATAGGACATATGCTTATTTGATAACGGTTGTATTTCCTATTTGGGTTTGTGCATATGCTATATTTTAAATTAACTGTTTTTTTTTTTTTTTTTGCCCAATGCATTGTTAGATGCCAGTGTTTCCTGTCATAGCAAAGATTTAAAAAACTGTATAATAGGTATTCAACTTTTTCATGTTATGATCTTAAATCCATATTTAACCTGAGAATGGTCTTAAAGTAAGTCTGATTTTGTGGTTGCTCTGCTTTAAAATTCAATTATTATAGTCTTAAATTAAGTGATGAAGGATTTTTAAAAAAACAACACGTATGCTTGAGGTCATCCATTCATTGGTTCATCCATTCACCCGTACCAGAACTCGTTTGGAAGCAGACCGAGACCACCTCTTCAGCTGCGTCTCGTTACGGTTGTTTGGTCAGCACCCGAGTGCAATTGCTGTATTCACAGCTGCCCAAAAGATCCGCACCAAGAGGGGAAACAAACTTGAGTTTGATTCAATCGAACCAAACAAGGCAGGTGTGAATACACCCTCAAATAAAAGAAAAGGGTATTATGGTATTGGTTGCATAATCTGTGTGTTTCTTATTATTGTCTTAGTTTAAACGCCATTACATTGTGTTCTCTTTTTTTATTGTGATAGAATGTTTTGTGATGAAACCATTGTTCTAATTAGTTCTCATTTGCATAGATAAAAAGGCATACCTCTCATTTGTTGACATACAGTTCTTTAGTTGCTTTTCACAAATTCACATCTTTTGATGATGCAGAGTTAATACACTCGCAATTATTTCCTGTCTGAACAATTCCTCAGATAATAGCTAATTTCCACCTGTTGGATGCAATTAATGCGCATTTATGCTAAAAAAAGGGAAGGTTTTCTTATTAGTTTATTTTGTCTTCTTGCAGACTTGCCGTTGGTGAATCTCTCGGTGGAACCTCAACCGGTCCTGGAGGGAAACCTGGTGAAGTTTCATTGCTCAGCCAAAGCTAATCCACCAGTCACTCAATACAAGTAAGACACCAAACACAACTGAAAGAAAAATGGCCAGGGATCCAATACTAGAGATCTTTTATAATACCGCATCCTCTGAGGATGATTAGACGGAACTAACTCTAATTCACGCTGTTCATCTGCCTGGCACATCACTGTGTTGCAGAAATGCTCAGCCAAAGCTAATCCACCAGTCACTCAATACAAGTAAGACACCAAACACAACTGAAAGAAAAATGGCCAGGGATCCAATACTAGAGATCTTTTATAATACCGCATCCTCTGAGGATGATTAGACGGAAACTAACTCTAATTCACGCTGTTCATCTGCCTGGCACATCACTGTGTTGCAGAAATGCTCTGGCATTTACTTGCAAATATTTTTAGGGCTGTCTCAAAGCTGAAATCCACTATCCTGGCTGGCATCGGTTTGCTATATCTAAGCCAAGACTAGGATTGGGGCGCCACATCGGGCATTCAAATCAAAGCAGGTTGTGTCTATCTGACACACTGATCCAATATCCAAGAATAATGTTTCCTGTCCTCTCCAAACAGATGAGAATGAGGTTGAAATACAAGTTATTTATTTCGGTGAGATGTAGCCTCGGCCTTGCGGAGGGCCAATAGCGAGGCGATTTGTTTGAACATGGTTTTCGGTGTGGGTTTTAAAACTAGGTGAAAAATAAGAGCAGTAAAATCAATAGTGAAGGGAATTGCACAGCGGTGGATCTTGATGTACTGAGGAATGGAACGGATCCGTGATACAGTTGTAGGTGGGCAAAACCGAGTTGTTTCTAGCTTTTGATATGACAGATACCAGAATCAGAAAAGCCTGTGTTTTATTGCCCATCAGGCCTTAGCTGAATGAAGAAACATTGGCTTTTTTTCTCTTTCTCAGTTTTTATTTTACACCTGAGCATCAGATATGAAGAGTGAGATGACTAGCTATAACTAGAAATAATGGCATAATAGCAAGTAAACATACTTCAATCATTTTTGCTTTAATTCAATGAAACTTTTTTTTTTTTTTGGGGGGGCACATGCTGTTTCAGCATTGTAAAGACTTCAAAAAAGCTGTGCATTGTCTCAATAAACAATGCTAGTTTGTAATAGTCTACTACATTTCCATAACATAGCATTCAGAACTGGCCTGCAAGCTAGGATGCTGTCTAATGCAAATTGCATATATTTTGATCAATTAATTTAGTGAATTGGGTGCTGAAACAACATGAAAGTGCATGACAATATTCTTCATATGTGCAGTATTTGCACATATTTAGAGTGTGTGAGCTGTGCCGAGTGATGAAGTTGAAGCGTCCGTGTTTTAGCTCACTTCAAGTCTGGTTCTGATTCTGCTCCATAAGAAAATAATATATTTGTGCAAACTGAATATGATGTTTTCAGGCACTTAATTACATGTTATTTACAGTTAAATGAAAATGAATGTTAACGATATAGGATGAATGTTAAAATTATTAAGTTTCAGTTTAAATAAATACTAAATGCAATTAGTTGAACATAAGAGTGTTTTTGACCCACTAAGCACTGACATGCATTAATGATCAACTAAAATATACTTTAATGTAATTTTTATTAAAACGTATATGTCATGTATTTAAATATATCACAGTTAGAACTGGCCGGCAAGCTGGGTCGCTGCATTGTGCAAACTGTGTTCAGCACAGATTATATATATATTTTTTTTTTTACGAATTTGCACAATTTAGTGAGTCAGATGCTGAAACATCACTGACAGTGCATGTAAATATTCTTAATATGTGCAGTATTTTCAATAAATAGTTAGTGTGTGAGCAGACCGATGAATGAAGTTGCGTGTTTTTGCCCCGAGTGTCAGTGTTTTCTCTCACTCCATCAAGACCATAACACATTAACGGCCCGTGAATTCACAACATTAGACTATTAACAATCCGAATTTGTGAAATATTATTAGAAAGAATATGAATTCCTAAATGCTATCCGTCTCAGGACAGTGCACTGAGTTACTCTTTCTCTTCCATGTCTACGGGCCCTGTAGCAACCGCTGCCATTGATCTGAGGGAATTCAGTGGCATCTCCCTGGTGAATTTAATAAATGTGTTGATTGACACTTTCCTTGATGACTTTCTCCACAGGAGAGCAATAAAAATATCAGAGCTAGAGTTTGAATTAATGATAGCCTTCCAAAGAGGATTCATGGACCATTGAAATGTCCCTGACATTAACATGGGGTAATTTTGTCGCCCATTGATTGAGGGACTAAAAAGTAGAAATGCTGTTATTGTGGTGTCGACATAATGTGATGTGTTGAGGAGTGGTAAGTACCCAGACTCATGTGCATTGACACGGATCATTACCGGTTGGGTTCGTTTTATGAAATGGGAGTCAGGAAAGATGTGGACTTCAATTGCTCCCAAAATAGTGTCTTAAGAGTGGACGTGCTAGGGGAATATTATATACTAAAACCATGTGGCGATATATAATGGTTTATATTGCTACGTTCTGATATTTTTTAAATGTTTTATTGTTATTTTTTTCATATGTAATAACATTTTTATTTTTAATCAATCAATCAATCAATCAATCAATCATGGACATTGAGACAAATCACTGACTGATCATTGCCGGTCTGGTTCATATCATTTTTATTTATAATTTATTTAATTGATTTGCATTGCATTTTTTATCAAAATTTTTTAAAATGTAAAATCTTTCATTTTATTTTTTTTTATTTAAATTTGAATTTTTCTTCTTTTTTATTGATTTCATGTTTATTTAATTTCCAATTGTATTTGTGCTTATACAGTACATCTAATACAAGTGTGTGTGTGTGTGTGTGCAAACCAAAAAAAAAAATATATATATATATATATTTTTTTTTTATTTTAATATCCCTTGTCTGCAATATGTTTGGGAAAGAAAAAAAAAAATAAAAAACAAGAATCCTTTGATTCATCTAACATACAAGCAGATTTACTCCCAAATTATCACAATAACAATTATGTTTGAGGCGTTGTGCTTGTTAGCTGTGGCTGTTTTGGGGATAGTTAAGCCGTGTTGTGCGTCTCTGCAGTGATGTCTTTGACACAGCTGATGAAGAGGTTTTCATGGTGGGCTGCTCGCTTCGCTCATCAAGCGTTTGATGTGCACACACAGATACGGGCGCTGCCGCTGTTTGTTTTCCATGACCGTGTTCCCCAGCGACTCTGAGAAGCAGCCAGACATGATTCATCAACCAGGGAACAGCACATGGAAAACTAACCAACAGCAACAGATGTAGCCGATATCTCAAAAACAGAAAATTAAACTCCGGGCATCTGTCCTGCTGGCTGCTAGATTGGCCAATATGAGTCTATGTTGTGATGCTATCATAATGGAGCGAACGGCAGCTTTATTGTAACCTAGAAAGTGTGTGTGGCATCATCCCAGACTGGGAGAGAAGGATGGAGAAGACGGCCTCATCATCTCCAGCACATGTCCCACGACATCCAGATGAATATTGAAATTTCATCTGCCCCGGTGTAAAAAAGGAATAAATAAATCTATCAAAATCCGGTCTTTGTTGCTGCTGATTACACACGACTACAGTACCTTTGTGGAAAAAAAGTTGTATTATATTTTCACTTGTAATGTGTTTAAAATCTTAATAGTGTGTATATATATATATATATATATATATATATAAAACATGTACTTGAAGATAATACAATATTAATGAAATAAAAGGCCACGTATGTGCACTTAAAGAGAGACACTTTCATGACTATGTTTATTAACTTAAGTACTTAAGTACACTTTTAAAAAGTGCAATTTGTAATAATGTTAAATCAAGTTTAAAGTACATTTTAAGTAATGTTTTGATAATCTTATGTCGTACTTTATAGAACTGCACTTATATGTAATCCTAAGCATTTTATGTTAGATGTCTGTTCAACCCTTGCAATTAAATCTTAAAGTCTGCAATTCAATTGCATCTTGATTGTTTCATTTTAATTCTATTCTGCCGGCACACAGAGTCGAGATTATAAAAATAGTGTCAGTGTCCAAATATATATGGACCTAACTGTATATATAGTATATAGTATACGTTTTATTTAAAATAATTATTTTTAAAGTACTTATTTTTCACAGGGTTCGCCTCTCCTTGCCAGAGCTGAAGGCTCCAATCCAAAAATCATTGTTTTGTTGTTGTTGTTGTTGTTATTGGGAGGGGGGCTTTGCCTGTGCATTGCCTTACAGAAAAGCCAAACATTCAATTCCTCCTGATACTGTACCCTTCTACTCTAGAATAATAAAGCAGTCCAAAAGTTTACAAAGGTTTACACAGACACTCTGCTGGGTTTCATTGGTGGGGTCATGTTTGTTCTGTTAAGAAGACCCTGGCTGAAGCCCAGCGGAGCCACTGTGCTCACGGATGTTTTGGCTCTTTGGATGTGCAGCACTGAATCCTTCAGCTCTGGCAAAGCTAACCCACCATTTGGGTCTTTCCTGCCGTCCAAACCTCCCAGTCTGCCACCCCATGGGCTTAAAACCAACACGCAGTCCTGCTTTGCTCTGTATTGCCATAGTTTTGTGCTATCAGAATACTAGTTAGAATTAGAAGTAGAGCTCTCAGTTGATAAAAATTATACACTGTTTATTGCTAATTTAATTAATCACATTACATTGCATATTGGAACTTTCAGAAAAAGCTCCTGAGTGATTTAAAGACATTAGGTTATTGGAGAAGAGGGATAAATCTTTGAATACATATTACAAAAACTAGCTTTAGAAGTTAAACTGGGTCTAGTTATTTTACAAAACGCACACTTGAATATGCTTTTGCAGAAATTATATACTTTAAAAGAACTATACTTAAGTGCAAACTAAATGTTTCGGAAAACACTTAATTACAGACTATTTACTATTAAATTCAAATGTATTATAGTTTAAATTTATGCATGAAATGAATTTAATTAGGAGTGAGTTTTTGAACCATTCAAGAAGGATTTAAATATATACTTCTACTGTACTTGAAATATGGTTAAAGTGTTTAATCTAGTACATTTAAATTATATCAACTTAAATGTAACATCAAATAACACTACAGTTAAAATTATACTCAGGTACTAACCATGTGCTTTATAGTAGGTTAGTCAACACATCAAAATAATTGTGTTAAAGCATGAAGATTATTAAAATATAATGATTTATAATGTACTTTAAAGTAAACATTTTAATTTGACATTATTACTAAGTTAAGCTTTCAAAAGTGTACTTAATTGTGTTATGAAAACATGAAAGTGTTTTATCTTTGAGTTAAGTCAAGTAGCCTTTTATTTTGATAATATTTGATATATTATCCACTTTTATTTAAATATCGTTTTTAATATCATTCTGTGCTACCTGTGGTTTAGCAAAGTGCATAGCCTGAGATTTACAAAAACATGGAAATGTTACTTTAAGCTTGAAATGTTTCAATTATAGAATTAAAATTATTTTATTTATTTGCACTTTAATTGATTGACTGATTGACAATCAGTTTGTTTAATGGCTTGTTTGTAAAATTAATCATTAACTAACATGACAGTCATTTAAAAACATTCCACGCACAAGTTTGAATGCAAATCTCTGGTAAAGCCTGAGGAAGATTTAAGAGGCTTGTAAGGGTGGAGCTCCATAAATATTGTGTCATTGTAATAGGATTCAAATTAATAGCAAAAGATGTGATGCTTGTCATAAGGGACCACAACTGAGACTGATCATAACACAAAATGTATGAATACAACTTTATAACGAAAGACGCACATAGATAATGCACAAATATAAGCTAGTTACTTAAAAGAACAAGACAATCATCCTCCTAGGCTCTTGTAATAAACAGGCTATTTAAAGCGGAATGAAATTATGGCGCAGTCAATCTTGTGATCTGATTACAAAGCAGCTGCTTCAAAAGCTCTGTGTAATTTATGTTACCACGAGAAAGGAAAACTCAAGTAGGCGTATTGCAGGCGACTGCTGCAGTAATTGCCCATAAATATAAAGTTTCACAGCGCCACATATTCACTTCCCTCAGAGCAATTATGTCGAGGACGGAGGCGACACGCGCAGGCGTCTGCCCTGATTTAAATATTTTTGGAAGCACATGTGTGCCTGCGCAGATTTAGCAGACTGTGAAACGGTGCTTTTCAAGCACACTAGCTAGGCCAATTACAACTGCTCTCCCTCCTTATTTTAATTTAGTCAAGAGGGAGACTGTTATAATTTAAATGACACTGTATCGGGTCCCGCAGATGGTTTGATTTAGTTGCAGAGGTAATGAATTGTGCACTCACTCCCACAGAGCAGGTGAATAGTGAAATTTTGGCAGCGCTCTACCAGTGCCGGCTGCTTTGAGTGCAAAACGATGCTTCTTGACAGCGAGGAGTTAACTGGCATTGAATATATTCATTTATTTAAATATTTACCCTAGTGTCAGGCTGTGACACCCGTTCTACATTGGCTTTGGCTTGCACAAATGTGTCCCATCATAGACACCAACAGAGAACCACAAAGTAGACCGAGCAAGTGACATAGATGCATTACTTTGTCAGTATGGGAGAAATAAAAGATGCCTTGGTCTTACAAAAATGAATGGTTCCTTGTGGGAAGTGCTGACAATTTATTGACATCTGATGTCTTTGTTACAGTATATACTGTATATGGGGTTTGTGTTATTTGGCCATGTGGAGAGGAGCTGGTGCCTATTTCCCTTAGAAGATGGCTGTCTTTCTTTCTTTGGGTCTCTAACCACCTACAGGCAGGCAGCTATCATGCCTCATTGATGACTATGATAGAAGCAGATGGATTAGACACCAGGTCTTCCTCTTATTGCCATGGAAACCTCTAAATTGGGTTCCACTTTCCTGTGATAGCGTACGTCTGGTAGGGACTCATACTGATGTCTTTCTGTTCCATTACTGAAACGTTAGACCTAAAAAGGGTTCATGTATTTCTCGACTCTTGGATCTGATACCACTTTTACAAATTAGCTTAAGGATATGTATCACATTATCTTAGAGAGTACCACTGTGACCCACTCGAGGTGAAAGCTAGATCTTAGACTGATAGCAAGGTTTTTCATTTATAAATGAAGTCTAAGGGAAGTTAAGACAGGGAAGTTTGATGTCGTGACTTGAAATCAGTGAAAGTGAGGTAGGACGTATTCAATGGTAAATATATTTTGCTGGTCCTAGAACAATGTTCTGATAAACAAAGTCCTAACCTGGTTGGAATGCACAACACAAATTATTTCTGAACAGATTTTAAAACAGTAGGCATCATAAACTTGCCCTCGTTGTAATAGTCACATCCATCATTCACTAAACGACTGAGTATCATACACTACCATACTTTAAAGTTGTTCCGATCACAACAAACTCGTGCAGAAACGTGCGCCCAGGAGACATGACAATTGAAAACAATGTACATTCTAAAATTGGCTTAAAATATCAAACATGTTTGATATCCTCCAACTGGATGGAATCATAGTTTGAAGCTAAAAATCTGAGTTTGTGGTTATACACTATGCAACTTTTTTTAACAAAATCTGTCAACTGAAATCTGCAGACTAGCTCTGACTTTCGGCAACTAGTGTCAACTTCTCCAGACTGTAAATCAGGGGAAAATTGGGTCAAAAGTTGTGTAGTGCATTCCAGTCTTAACCTGTAACTATATGACTGGGGGCAAATTAAAGATTGATAAGGATGTTGCACCAATCCCAATTTCCCGAGTCTAAACCAACTCTCTGGAGCTTAACCTACAGAGTTTAGTTCCAACCTGCCCCCAAAACACTTGCCTAGAAGATTCTAGTCATCCTGAGAGCTTGACTACCTGGTTCAGGTGTGTTTTATGCAGGACTTGAGCTAAACTCTGCAGGATAGTGGACCTACAAGAGCAGGATTGGACACACTTGAATAAGGATGTTCACCAAAAAACACTTACCAATTACTTCCTAACTATCTACACTGTCAGAAAAATGTGCAAAGACGGCACCTCTATATGTGTAACAGCTTGTCACTGGCGCAGTCCTCTTAAAAAGGCAACTTTGTACCTTATCTACCCCTAAAAAGTGCATTTTAGTAGTCATTTGTTCCCTTTAAGATACTGCTTTGAACCTTTTAGGGGTACATAAGACACAGATTTGAGGGTACTGCCCAATTGACAATTTGTTGTACCCCTAAAGGTGCAATTATTGCATGTTTCTGAGATTGTACAGGAATTATAACATCCTGCAATGTGTTTTTTCAATGCTATCCCTGTTAAAAAACAAAACAAAAAAACAGCACATGCTGGTTAGGTATGTTTTAAAGCATGGAAGCTGGATTGAGCTGGTTTAAGCTGGTTCTTAGTTGGTCATGAGCTGGTTTAAGCTGGTCCTAAGCAGGAGCTTAGGTGCTTAGGACCAGCTTAGGATCAGCACATGACCAGCTTAAACCAGCTCATAACCAGTTTATAACCAGCTCAGGACCAGCTCAAACCAGCTGCCATGCTTCAAAACATACCTAACCTGCATATGCATTTTTTTTTTCATTTTTTCAACAGGGATATGAAGTTCACTGGCTTTTGTGTGGTTTGTCACTAACTTGTGTTTAGTAGTAATAATTGTTCAGTAACTTATGGTCTTTAACTGCTTGGAGTGGGCTTCAAAACTCTATAACATCTCTGTCTACTGTTTATAGGTGGGCCAAAGGAGGAAGCATGATAAAGGAAGTGTCTGGAGACACATATGAGGTCATAGTGGATCACTCGTTCTTCACAGAGCCAGTTTCCTGTGAGGTCACCAACCCTCTTGGGAGCACCAACATCAGTCGGAACGTGGATGTCTACTGTGAGTTATTTCAGTTTTTTCCACATCAGAGTTGTCCAAAACGTCATGATGTACCATGTTCCTACAGAGCTACCACCTGTTTCAAAACACCTGCACACTTCTAGCAGTCCTAAAGACCTTGAGCAGCTGGTTCAGGTGTGTTAAATTATAGTCGAGCAAAGCTCTGTAAGAATATGACCCACTGTGAAAAGAATTGGACACCTCTGGTTCATCATTTTTGAAAGTATCTCCTCAAATGTCAGGAGAGAGACTTAAAATTCAGTTGCCACCAGTCTCACATCAAAACAAACTTACAAGAATTATGTTTAAAATGTGACCTCTCTGAATAGATCTTATAACCTGGTTTATTTTCTCCAGTTGGACCTCGGATGGCTGCAGAGCCCCAGTCTTTACAGGTTGACCTAGGATCTGATGCTGTGTTTAACTGTGCCTGGACCGGAAACCCCTCTTTAACTATTGTATGGATGAAAAGGGGCTCTGGGGTGGTAAGTTGCTAGGCATTGTTATTGGGCATTGAATATAACCCTGCTCCACATTTAATCTTTGAAGTAAACCCATAGTTCTCTTTCACCAATCATCTCATTTTTTCATTCTAGCTACATTAATAGTGCATTGATGTTCAGTCATCTTGTCTTTGTAAAGAAGAGATCAAGCAAACATGAAAAAAAAAATCAATTTCATTTGATTTTGGCTTTTCATCCATTCATTTTAAACTTCAATATAATATTCTCTGTATAAAACCTTTGATCTATTAATGCATTGCCTTCTATTTCTGACCAGCTCAGAAACAGAATCAGAACATTTCTAAAAAAGGACAGGATGACACATTCAGTGCTGTGCCCCGATGGCAAACATCAGGGTTTTTCAGATTCCATGCGATTCTATAACACGCAGATGGATAGTGGCTCAGTTTGGGGTATGTCTGTATTCTGGCACAGAAATTGGGGAAATTGTGCCCCACTGAAACCAGCCGGTCTCATTTCTCTCTCGGCTGACTGTCACCTACCATCGCCCATGTTCACATGGTCCTCCTCATCTGACCCAAATTGGATTTTAATAATTGAGAAGAAGGTCCTTTTCCAAGCTTAGCTGCCCATCCATGAGTCCTGATTCATTTTGACTCTGGCCAGCTCCCTTTGCACTCCTTTTTAATGTTTTGATCTTTGACCTCTGGCTACAGGTGCTAAGCAATGAAAACATCTTGACATTGAAATCTGTCAGGCAAGAGGATGCTGGGAAGTATGTGTGCCGTGCGGTGGTGCCTCGTGTTGGAGCGGCCGAGAAGGAAGTCTCTCTCACCGTAAATGGTATGTTTGATACTTTCGTACTGTACAAGGTTCATGGCTAAAGAGGTGTGTTTGACGAGTGCAAATGCGCCCATTTGGAACATATGTAAATGAAAAAGGTGCAAGAAATTGGAAATCCAGGTGACAGAATTAGACCTATTTTGGAATTCATGTTGACTCTGAGACAGAAGTTTTATGTTTACTCTTCGGTCTGCTATTTCTCTGGGCTAATGCTGATTATATTCAGTAAGAATTGCACGAGGAGCTGTTTTTTAGGCTGTGACAGGCTAATGAACACAGGAGAATAGCGAGAGACTGGCTACTCTCAGATAAATGACTTCATTACGGCCGCTTGATATTCAGGCGGCATGCATTAGCCACACGACAGCTTTCATTCTCAAAATCCAACACGTCTTTTAAAAGCTCCTTTCTCTCCGAAGCTATTTGCCATGGGCCACGGCTCTGACGTGAGTGGAAAATAAGAGAAGTTCAGCCAAAGTGACAATTGTGTTTGCATTGAATGATTCCTCTGCAAGTTTAGATTCACTAATGCAGTTTGGTGCTGGGAAATGAAAGAAAATCAATAAAGAGCTGTTATGACTGATAGTATTAATATGCAAAGTCAGACATTCATTTGAGGCTTACAGACAACTCAGGAATTACAGAAATTACAGATGACATCCACTTTCATCAAGTACACTCTGTTCTATATGAGGACAGTAAAGGGTACTTCTGCTTTGCATTAATTTCTGACTCCTAGAGAGTTCAGGATTGCATGGAATCCCAAATAAACACAGTCTTGTTGTTTGTTTGGTTATTTTTTTTGGTAGTGGAAGATTTATAGAAGTTTATGGAAAGATCCAACACTACCATATTAACCCTTTTAAGTCCACAGGCAACCAAAGTTGCTGAAGGCTCTGCAATGGTTTTACCATCTGTAAATAGTTTTTGGGTAACTATAGTGTCCTAAAACAACAGGTATATAAGTAGACAACCTTAGGAAGAGCTTTTCACAATATACTGGATAATATGTCACGTTATGGTGTTTAATTTGTTAATTTGTTTTTGGGCGTTTACTGTGAAAAGTATTTAAAGAAACCTATAAATATTGCAAAAATTCACACCCCAAATCTGGCACCATTCTTGTACAGAAGAGCTTGCACAGGTGAGGCTGTGTTCGGCGGGTTCAAGAGTGCTGAACGAACGCTGATGCCCTGGAACTCACGTTTCCAAAAACGTCAAAGCAAATTTTCAAATAGACGTTTTCTTTATTAACTCTTTCCCTGCCATTGACGAATTATCTCGTCTTTTAAAAGAAAACGCTTCCCCGCCAAAGACGAGTTTTTACGACTTTTCGTGTTTCCACTGTTATACACTCGGGGGTGCTATTATGCATCTTCTGAACGAGTACAAAACCTCCCGAACAAAAACACGTGATCAGAACGGAGAAACTAGCTATCTCTTATGTAAACTGATCCATATGAAAAATAATATGATCATCAGCAATAGAAAGCATATAAATGAAAACTGCATAATGTTACAGAGTAAAATGTTGATCCAGGAAGTGGTATGTGTCTGTGCAAGCTTTGGAGGTATTGATGGAAGCGATTTACTGTATTTATGCTTTGATAATCATACTGAATGCAGTTTTTGATAAAAATGTGATTATCTCACTTTTTTGCTCAAAATTGTGCATTTTTTATGAAACCTACCTATATTCAAGTGTTGATAAAAAAAACTGATTGTTTCAAGTTCTGGTGCATTTGGGAGATGAAACTGATCATTTCACATTTTGCTCTTGATGAGCGACTGAAATTCACAAGCATTGATGTGAAGAATGACTGATGACCAGAGCTCTGTGTTTCAAAGGCTTGATCAGTAAGAGGAAAAGAGCGAAAGCAAGTGAGAAGGATGAACTAGAGCTCAAAAAAGGATTGATAATCCACCTATGTTTGCTGATCCTCACTGAGTCACATAAAAGCTCATTTATGCTAACAATTAAATGCACGCGTTTGGAATTTGTCAATATCTGTTTCCTCCCAGTTGCATGTCACTAGAACCCAGAGCTCCTACTGAGACTCAGAATATAGACAAGAGAGCCCCAGCGTTCTCTCAGGCCCAATGTAATTTAATTATAATCAAATAGCTAGCAGGGGACACCGTTTGCCGAAAACACGCTAATGGATACACATTGCTTTCTGCTTTTTGTTCCCTATTTCCTCAGATAAGGATCTCATTCCTCCATGTGTATTTTGAGCCTTAATGGGATTTAATATCTAAATGTGTCCCTATGTTCATTTATTTGTTTTGTGGCTACGATTTGGCTGTGGATCCAATTTGTTTGTTTTGTTATATGCTGTTCTGCTGAAAATTCAGCTTTGCTATCACAGGCATAAACAGCATTTTAAAATATATTCAAATAGAAAACAGTTATTTTAAATTGTAATAGAAAAATACAGTAAAAATTGAAAAATACTATCAAGTAAATGCAGCTTTGGTGAGCATAAGAGACTTCTTAAAAAAAATAAAAATAACATAAACTGTACTTTGTGTTTTTCCGTCATGCAAGGTTATTTTACTGCTGGCCATAGGTTTTGAAAATGTGATTTCAAGAAAGAATATGACATTGTTTTTAATTTGACAAGACATCTGCATTCTTGCTACTAACTTCATAAATTGTAAGTGATTAAAAGGTTAATAAAGGGATATGCATCAGATCGGATTAGGTTGCTCACTACTTCTATATAAAATGCACAGAGATGAAACCACTCACTATGGGAATAAAAGCCCCACCTTTCAGTTAAAACATCCAGTCAGGTAATTGTTTTTTTGACATTTTATCGGCTCTGTAGTTATCATAAATAGTCTGTTTTCATAAAGCAGCTCAAAGGCCCTTCCTCACTTATACAATAAAACGTATAATTTAGCATAGCTTTATCATTGGTGGAATGTACAAATATTTCAAGACATGCATTTCAGACAATTTCAATTCATGCAATATGTCAAAGCTTTAAACCGCGAGGAGAAAAATCAACCTGCGACAATAGTTTAGAAGAAGCCCAGTTTCATGAGAAAACCATCAACTTGGCAAGACTTCAACTGGAAACCATTAGGTAATGATTTTAATGGTAAACAGTTGTAATTGTTTGTAATGGTATTTGTAGTGGAAAGTATTAGAGATTCTGTGATGCTTTCTATTGTGTGTGTGTTTCCCCCCCCCTATACAGGGTTGTTATAAATGTAGCTTTGCTTGGATATGTTTGTATTAGCTTGAATAGTTTTAGTGGAGATGCTTAGCATGTTGTGCTAGGTAGTTTGTGGATATTTACAATACATTATTGCAACATGAATTACCAGCTGTCATATGCTAAGCAAGTAGGCTAAACCTGCAGGCCATCTGGAAACAAAAAGAAGGCAAATGTTTAATTTATTCATTTTAGCTTCAGTAATAAAATGCTGGAAATGAGTTAGGATTTTAGCACTTCCCAAAGTCAATTGCTTTTTGAAAGCATTGTTGGTTAAATGCCTGAAATAATGTCTGTGGTTAGCACAAACTCAAGATGTTTTCATGTTTTATTTTTCACCAATAAAATACATCAGTAACCCATTTTAATTGTTTTAAGCTTTTACTTGTCTTGAAAAAGCGATTGATAATAACAAGTGGCTAAATGGGACTACAAAGTTTGTCTGGGCAACCCGATCTCATGAAAGTGCGTATAAATAGTATGCCAAATAAAAACGAAAACTCGTAGTATTGTTACGCAAAAATAGACTTTGGCGTGTATATGCTACGCCATAGGTAGGTTTAGGGTTGTGGGGTAGATGCGTATCATATGCACGCGAAAAATGTGTACCTTGAATGCAATGTAAGTCTGTCAAATGCATACATGCAAATTTGCCAAATTTATTCTGCAAATCTGTTAGAAGGTCAGTTCCATTCAGTGCAACTTCACAAAATTCTCATGTCTCTACCTCTGCAGTGCTATCTTGTACTTCAGGAACTGCAGGACAATGCGGAAAATATACATGCATATGTGATATGAATCATTAGTTGGAATAGAATGTTGCCATAAAATATTAGCAAACATTCTGATGTTAATACTGGCTAAAATGCCTATTGTAAAAAAGCAACACATGATCTGTTCTAGTTTCGAAGAGATTCCTATGACTCTCTCTGGCAACCAGGGAATACACCGTGGTAGCTCACAGTTTTGAGTATGTGACGAGTAACTATGTGCGTCTGTTCTCCCCTCAGGACCTCCGACTATCTCCAGCACACAGACCCATCAGGCTCCACACGGGGAGAAGGGACAGATCAAATGTTTCATCCGCAGCACACCACCCCCAGACCGCATTGTGAGTTACTCAGCTCTCTCCTTCCAGTGACTCAGCTCAGACAGGACTGCAGCTGTTGAGTGGGTGGTTGCTGTTGTCACATGGCTCGTGTGACTCCATTAGACTCAGTAAACACAGTCCAATAATGCATAACGCACTCATGAGTTACGATCTGTTTAATAAATTAAATTGCATCTCAAATCATTTGTTTCCTCTATATGAGTGAATGGGTATTAGACATGGCAGGCTTACAGCCCTAATTTCTCATTTAATGCATACTTATGCCCTGTTACCACAGATCCAATTAGGATTTACCACTCTTAGATGAACTGTCTCCTCTCTAGGCCAATTTTTGATTCATTACTCACACTGTGCGTGTATGTGTGTGTTTGTGGCTGTGGGCATGGAAGTGCATAGGTAATCTCTGTGCGATGTTTACCCGTGTGGCTTTGCTTTTATTGCCGTGCTATTTCTAAATGTCAGTTGAAAGGGAAAGACTGCTCCTGTGGTCCGGAACAACCAGTAATAACTTTAGAAGTGTAATAACGCCCATAAAGCAGGTGAAAACAAACACGGGTCTCTCTTTCCTTCTGAAAAGACCAGCTTGCACCAGCAAGCTGATTCAGAGTAGTTTATGTTGGTTAGTGTTGGTCTAGATCAGAGGTGCCCAAACTCGGTCCTGGAGGGCCGGTGTCCTGCAGAGTTTAGATCCAACCCCAGTTAGACACACCTGAACCAGCTAATCAAGCTCTTACTAGAAACCTCCAGGCAGGTGTGTTGAGGCAGGTTGGAGCTAAATTCTGCAGGACATCGGCCCTCCAGGAACGAGTTTGGGCACCTCTGGTCTAGATGGTAGAGACATGCTGTTTACCAGCAAAAATTGCCGGTTGTGAAGCTGGAAAGGAGGTTTTGCTGGTTAAGCCAGCCTGGTGGTAAACAGTAATCTTATTAAGTTTTTATTTATTGATTTATTTTTTATAGAAAATGCCTTGAATCATTTTATTTTGTACCCCATCTGCCCCATTGTTCATATTCAAACATAAATATATGTAAAATTTGTTGATATCTCTAACAAATTGTTTTAGTAACACTGTAATGCTATTATCGTTTTTATTAATATTTGAATAAATTTTTTGTTTTATATTTTCTGTTCTCATTTTAATTTTAGCTATCTAGTTTTCTTTTCTTTTTTTTTGCAATTTATATTGCAAATATTGCATTATATTGCACCTCGCAGTGACATGACTTTTCGCAGTCATTTTTTGTTTTATATTTTCTGTTCTCATTTTAATTTTAGCTATCTAGTTTTCTTTTCTTTTTTTTTTGCAATTTATATTGCAAATATTGCATTATATTGCACCTCGCAGTGACATGACTTTTCGCAGTGATGCTTCAGACCAGCATCAAAACAATACATGCTGGTATTTTCAGTGTGGTTTCTTTTGTTCTTCATCAGGCCTGGTCCTGGAAGGAGACTGTCTTGGAGTCAGGGACATCAGGTCGCTACACGGTGGAGACAGTAAGCACAGAGGACGGAGTGCTGTCCACCCTCACCATGAGTAACATCGTACCTGCTGACTTCCAGACCATCTACAACTGCACCGCCTGGAACAGCTTTGGCTCCGATACAGAGATCATTCGCCTCAAGGAACAAGGTGGGAGCCAAGGTTCGCCAGGTTTCACCTTCTTTTCTTTAAAACATGGCTGTGGTAGAGTAGTGGTGCAGTGTTTTATAACCATGGTTTCTGAAAACACTGGAATAGACTAGAACATTTTGTTTCTCCATCACTTTCCATTTATCAAATTAGCAAGTAGCATCTGAATCATATTAACATCTTTTAATGTTTTTATACCAGATTTAATTCACAAATGAAATAACTGACTGCCATGACCTAAATATGACTTTCATTTACAATAATCAGTAATAAACTTCTGCATTAGTATATTTTCACACCATGTGCCATGGCAGATTTTAAGTGAATCATTGAATCAGTGAGTTGTTGACTTAAGAGCAGTCTGATTCACTAATGAAACACTCAGTGTGGTAATTCATCAGGTTCACTGGAAAGAATCAGCGTTCATCTTCTTTTATTTAATACATGCCTGTGATAGAGTAGCACTGTGGTGTTTCATAACCATGGTTTTTGAAAGCACTGGAATAGAGCAGAATCTGAGGGGGACGAAATAATATTTTCTTCATTACTTTCCATTTATTACTTTATACATTATGAATCACTTTACACAAGATTAGCAAGTCACATTCAAATCATATTAACGTTTTTTCATGTATTTATACCAATTTTAGATTACAAATGTCATTCAGCTCTAGCCAAATGATTATTTCAGAGCAACATCAATAGTAATTGCACATTTAACTGCAACTTCAATAAATCATATAAATGTATTAACAACACTTAGCACTATTTAATTGGCAGCCTTGTTACAGTGATTCATTTCTCTCTTGTGCATTTCTTGCAATCTATCTCCCCATGTGCTTTCATAGTTTGGATTTGTTCACATGCAATAAATTTGAGTCCTGTTTTGACTGACTTCAATTGTTCTTTAATAGATCTGTTTCCCCAAAAACGAACATTTGGTCATAATTTGTACTCATTTCAAACCCTAATGATTATAAATTTTACATGATGTGCTGGTCGTTCTGTTCCATGACACTACAACGAATGGGGACTAAAATGTTCAATTTAAAGATGCAAATGCATAAATATAAAAAATATATAAAACTGTTCTAGGGTGACTATACACCCCTTTTACCCCTGACATGTCCTGGCTGATTTCTAAATATCCAAAAATATCAGAGTTTTGGCTTTGTTTTCCTAAATTGTCTCGCTGAAGGAAAAGACTGAAAAGTAGTTTGACCAATAGCATTCAAGCTTTGTACATAATCAACCAATTGTGGCATGTAAAAAGGTGGGATCTACAGAGAATGGTCAAAGCAACACAAATACGCAAGTACTGTACATATAATGCATGAGTACTGTAAAGAGCACGTAAATAATAAAACTAAGCCAAAACCTGGACATTTTAGCCAATTTAGAAATCCCAGCTGGGGTAAAAAAAAAGGACATATGGTTACCCTAGGCTTTTCTGAAGACTTCTAAAGCCAAACAATGTCTTTGTGTGACAAGTATATACAATATATATTTCTGGGTTTATAAGAACTGCACACAGTAATTCAGACAATAAACAGGCATAAACTGTGAATACGCAGAGGTCGTAATGCTTAGTTTGTACTGGGAGCCAGTGATTAACTTTGTGTAGGTACAGCTTGTTGTCTGACTCAGCCTCTCATTATCATTTGGCCGTAAAATCTGGCCTCCATCTTTCGGTTTAAATATACCAACAAGAGCACAAATAAAACAGTTGAGTTGGCTCTAATTAACCTAAAGCCACAGCTTCTCAAAACACTCCTGGGATTGTTGGAATTCACATTACACCCACGTCAGAGTCTAACGAAAACATCCGATGCAGGGTTCAGTTCATGTGCACGCAAGGCATGTTATGTGCGTGTTATGTGCTAAAACGTATGCGATAATTGGCATAGCTGCAAATTGTCAGATTAAAGTGAAGGAACCTGAGTTTTTGCTAGAAGGTGATGGTGGTGTTAATTGCCTGTGATAGTTATTTTGAATAGACACATTGAAGGTGTGAATGTCTCCTTGACACGGCATTTGACATTCCCATTTGTTCAATACAAGTGCGAGTCTGGAAATATGTCCAGGTCTGTGTTTGAGCGCTTATTTACTGGATTTACCCGTCCTGTCCATGCTGCGTTATTGTGGAAGGCTCTGTTTTGTGTTCCAACAGATTCCCTCCCTGTTGCCGTGATCATCGGCGTGGCAGTTGGCGCTTTCGTTGCTTTCATCGTCCTCATGGGAACCATCAGCGCGTTCTGCTGTACGCGCTCTCAGAGAAGTATGTACCTCTCAGTCCATCGCGTTCCTGCATGTCCATCACCAGAGAACGCTAAGTGTTCCTCAGTCAGACAAAGAGCAGGGTGTTAGGGTGTCACTTCACAGAAACCGAGCCTTTATTTCTATATCTTCCTTTTCGTTGAGTGTTTGTGTAGGGTTGGGCGGCATGATGGTTTAGAGCAGAAATGCATCATCTGTCTGCAATGCTGCTGAAAATCCTACAGTAGAAAACTCTAGCTGTTTTCCAATGTAGACAATGTCTTTTGCTTTGCCGCGCTGTGTGTTTATACTAATTCTAGCTAATTTAGGATGACCATACGTCCTCTTTTTCCTGGACATGTCCGGGCTGGCATTTCTAAATTGCCTAAAATGTCTGGGTTTTGGCTTTGTTTTCATATTGTTGTCATACTTGCTGAAGGTAATGACTGAAAAGTTGCTTGACCAATAGCTTGCAGGAATTGTATACATAATCGACCAGCCGTGGCATATGAGAAGGTGGGATCTACAGAGAATAATCAAAACAATGCAAATACGCAAGTACATATAATGTATGAGGAAGTCAACGAAGCAAAAACCCAGACATTTTAGGCAGTTTAGACACGTACGATTTAACTGTTGTTTACAGTGATCTACAGTAGAAATGTTGCAACTTGTTGCATTAATTGAATTAATTAACTGAACAGGTGTGCAAATGTACATGAATTGACTATTTTAAAATAGCGTAGCTTATTCAATTATACTTTATATGTATTTTATCTTTTGGTTTTTACAGCTGCTTTTTAGTGCATTTAGTGCCAAAAAAAACAAAACTTAGGAAGCAGAATATTGCATGAATAGAACAGAAAAAAAATGTATCTGACTATTCTCATAATTTTGACTTTATTCTTTAAACATTACCAATGCATCCATGAATTGTTTTGTTTTTATTCTCAATTTTGTTTTAATGTGGCAGTAAAATTCTGACTCTTTTTTTTTTTTTTTTACTTGTGTGCTTAAAGAAGAATTTTATTTGTACTAATGCTACAACTAAAGCTTTTGTCATGCCGCCTACCCTTATCTCTGTGTTTCTTATTTGTTTTCCTTTTACCGCGACCATCCTCTGTCATGATCAAAAGAGAAAACAGCTCATCCATGTACAGGTTAGCGTCAGACAGTGAACAATGAGCTTGCAGTTTCCGATTGTTGGTGGCATTGGGTTGAGCTTGTTGTTGTTGTATGCCACAGAAGACGCTCACCTGGTTATGCCTACACTGCCCACCTCCATCTGTGCTCAGCAGAGAGAACTTGCAAGCAAAATTAAGACAGAAAGTAAGACCTGTTACCTGACCGTCACCAATTATCTGTAAACATTGTTCTTCAATGCGTCAACATGAGCTGTGTGATTCTCTGTGGTTCCTCTAGGGTTCCTCTTATCTTAGTTCTGTGGTGTTATGCTGCCTTCAAGTCCTCATGGGAAGTTCAAAGTTGTGGATGTTGTAATTATAATGGAACATGATTTTAGCTGCAATAAAATGGACAATTTCATATTTCTCTCTATTTAAAGTCAGGAAACTATTTTTGAAGTACGAGGTGTGTGATTGATATTTAAGCTAGCTATTTTAATATTTATCTGTGACCACATTTTTCGCCCTCCACCTTTATTTATTTATTTATTTGATAATACAATAACATTGATATAAAAAATATATTGTTATAAAACCATATAATTCTGTAAATCTTTAAAGCCATCTGTAAAGCCTGTCAAATAATAATAATATTTTATTGAAGTGTGTGTGCGCGTGCGTGCATGTGTGTGTCTTTGTGTTTAAAAGTCCGTATTCATTTTATTTATTTGTTTGTTTGTTTGTTTATTTACCTATTTTTATTTATTTTTGGTTCTTTTTTTTTATATATGGTTCATAAATTATGATTATAATGTGTGTATGGAGCTCATATTTAAGAGGGGAGAAAAATTATTAAAAAGCCCAAACTGTCTAAAAGTATGCATTTTGCTGCAGATGCTGATATTTACAGTATATGGCCAGAAAGTAAGATGAAAAGTAAGATGAAATTCTTATAGCTTCTAATTAAACTAATGAGATATTTATAACAGTATAACAGATTACTTGTATATAACGCATATAAATATCAATTGTCACGCTATGTCTCCCGATAATGTCTTTAAAAAAAAAATGTATGGATAATAAAGTAAACCTAGCGTGCATCCGTCCATCAGTTCATCTTGAATGTTATTTTTGTATTTACTTTATAAAAATCAGTAAAGATTTTACAGCAAAAAGATCAATCAGAGGACAAAAGGCATTTAGTAAATTAAGTTTTGAACATGTTGATATCTTAGAGGCCTTATAAAATGCAGTAGGGATATTATAAGTTAATTCTTAAAATTATAAATGTATGAATCATTATATACTGTTACTGACAGAAAAGCTGGGACTCGTTTATGTGTGCAGATCTCATAAATATGCTAATTTTGACATGACTTGAAGGCAGCATTCGTTTTCATGGATTAAAGCAATGTGAAGTGGCATGGAGTAAATAGCATTTTTTTTGTAAATATATTTCACATCAAGTACATTACATTTAATGACACTGGAGTAACACTTGTCACTTTCCACTCAGACCTCAAAGGCGTGGTATCAGCCAAGAACGACATTCGAGTGGAAATCGTACACAAAGATCACAACGCAGCCCGAGAAAATGAGGATCACTCCGCCATGAAACAGCTTATGGTGAGTCACGTTTCTGAAGGAAGAAAACAGTAAACATCCCACTTGCCATTACCCCATCAGCACCCCCAAATCAACAAGCTAGCTCATTATGCTAGTCCCTGTCACATCCGTAGCTAATGAATGCTAATCATCCCCACCCCAACACTAATAGCGCCTATCTCCCTCACCACAACGTCAAACCCATGAATAATGCAGCATAAGTGTGAGAACCCTGCTGGCCTGCATGCCTATATTTAGCCCCCAGCCTGTATTTCCTGGGAGGACATGGGCATAGATGTAACCATAGTGATGCCAGTGATCAAGTGGTCCTTTTCTCCTGGAGCCCTCGGTGAACTTCTGTCAAAACACATGCTGCCACCATCTCTAGAAAATTTCACTCATTGTCACACAAGCCTCCAGGGCCCAGAATCAGAGTTCTGTTTGGGCTCAAGATGTATAACAAGACTTTAGACAAAAAGTGAGAGGACACCTCATGAAGATGCATTGCAAATTTTTTTGCTAATGATGTGAAGAATATTCACAGGAGATTGCCCCAGTTGAAGTAGCTTTCCTTCTGGAATATCGTTAAGCGTTCCGGAGCACCAAAACTCACACAGTGAGAGTAACCCAGATTCTAACGTGTGAACGGATCTGTTGTTTGCCACAGATCGAACGGGGAGAGTTTCAGCAGGAGTCCGTTCTGAAGCAACTTGAGGTACTTCAGGAAGAGGAGAAGGAGTATCAGCACATCAAGGTATGTCTCTATGGGATTTGAAGGAAGTGATATAAGAAAGAGAGAGGTTGTTTGATATATGACACCCCACTAAAACATCTTCAATGTATATTTGAACTATTTAACTATTGTAACTACTAACTATTCTACGCGTGTTCATAAGAGAGTGGCGTTCCAGCGGGTGACGTAAGACGTAGGCGTAAGCTCTGGTGAGAAGTGACCAATGCGTAAGTGCAAGAAATGTTCTTCCTTTGCTGTAAACAAAACTTGGTTCTTGTGAGACTAGCATATTCTCACCAGAGCTTAAGTTACGCCTACGTCATCCGCTGGAACGCCACTCTCTTGTGAATCAGTGTACTACAGTTAACGGAAGCTAGAGATTACAGTTTTAGTAAGGTTAGTTTTAAATATGGATGTTTTGTTTCCTAAACAAACACATCAATTCGCTTCAGAAGGCCTTTATTAACCCCCCTGAAGGCGTGTGAAGCAATTTTTATGATGGATGGATGCGCTTTATTTGACTTCAAAATCTCAACCCCCATTCACTGCCATTATAAAACTTGGAAGAGCCAGGACATTTTTTTTTTTTTTTTTTTTTTTTTTAAATATAACTCATTGTATTGTCTGAAAGAAGAAAATCACATAAACCTAGGATGGCTTGAGGGTGAGTAAATCATGAGGTATGGATGAACACTTTAACATCCATTGGAACCTTTCCATTACACAAAAAGTTCTTAATAGTGATTCTTCAGATTCTCAAAACATTCTTTACACTAATACAAAATGGTTCTTTTAAGAGTCGTTCACTAGTTCTTTGAACATTTAATTTTAGCTACAGTAATAATTTATGTGTATAAATAGACATATCAAATAAATAAGATGATTTCCTTGTTCATGTGCAAATAGCATTCTTCTCTCATAATTAATATTTCATACTCGTTGAGCTGCGCTGATAATTGAATTTCTCGACACATTTACTGTTTATATTTGACCTTTGTTAAACACCCAATCCGGGCTTGACTTTAAGAAAGTGTTTCTCAGTCATTTACTCAAACAAAAGCTCTGTTATGGGTCTGATGTGTGTGTGAACTACTTTGAAATCACATGTCACGAACTGAAGCAGTTTTAATGTGAAACTGAAGGAACGTGCTAAGTGCTTTAAAAATAACACTATTACACATACCTAATTGATTATGGCAGCTCAAATATATTGGAATTAACTGGCTTGTCCATGCAATGTACATATGCATTAGTCTTGGAATTTAATAAAATAAGGTTTTTAAATTGAAAAAGCATTTGTTTTCATTTTCTGCACTTACGCAAATGCATGCTCTGTTAAGATTTTGTAATTAGTGTTTGTAGTTTATGGCTGGAAATTGCTTAGAAGATGGATATTTAAATTTTTGTTTAGCCGAAGCCCTTTTTATTTTAACAAAATGAATTAAAGCCTTATTAGCAATTATAATTAGCCTTTACACATTTGCACTGATCATTGAGTATTTTAAGTGTTCAGATACTAATTTAGCTAATTTTAGAGTGAGCTTAAAGAATAACTATCGTAATTCTAGTCCGATTAACCTATGATGCCATGGTTAACCCAAATATATTGGAATTAACTGGCTTGTCCATGCAATGTACATATGCATTAGTCTTGGAATTTAATAAAATAAGGTTTTTAAATTGAAAAAGCATTTGTTTTCATTTTCTGCACTTACGCAAATGCATGCTCTGTTAAGATTTTGTAATTAGTGTTTGTAGTTTATGGCAGGAAATTGCTTAGAAGATGGATATTTAAATTTTTGTTTAGCCGAAGCCCTTTTTATTTTAACAAAATGAATTAAAGCCTTATTAGCAATTATAATTAGCCTTTACACATTTGCACTGATCATTGAGTATTTTAAGTGTTCAGATACTAATTTAGCTAATTTTAGAGTGAGCTTAAAGAATAACTATCGTAATTCTAGTCCGATTAACCTATGATGCCATGGTTAACCAGACAGCAGTTGCAGTTCTTGGCAGAAGCAGCATAGCTTTTATTCTCTCGTTTGTATTTATCTCAGTGTGTTCTTAAAGTCTGTTTCACGGCCTCCTCTACCTGCTCCCTGCGGGACTGATTTCCTCCCTACATGTAGATGAGTGTGTAAAATGAGCAGTGTGAACAGGGACAGCTCCGTACAGATACGGAGTGCACACAATCCCTGTTGCCTGATAAAACTGCGCCAAACAACGCCTTTCTCGCGTTGTCATAGAGAAGTCACCTAACAGTGATTATCGTCTCTCCCCCAGCGGGATATGGCCTGCGCGCCCGCTCAAAATGGCATCCACGTCCACATTGTGGCGCCTGTTTTGCTTCTTAGCAACCGTGCTGATATAGCACCACAACAACGACAGCAGCCATGGTATCGAGTTCCTTCGCTTTGATTATTTCTTTCTGTCACGAATTTAAAAAGCCTTGATTCTGAAGTCCAATTAAAGCTGAAAAGTACAGACTAACAACCAGATTGTGGATCAAGGTTCTGCTTAATTAGCCTATAATGATATTTTGAGGTTATTGCTAAAAATTGTCTTTGACTACTTTTCTTACCTCTGTTTTGCGTTTGCATGTTTCTTTATGAATGCTTCAAAACAGACGTGATAGCAAAAGAAAAGGAATAGATTACAATGCACAAGCTTTTCTCAAGCAATTTAGCTTTAGTTCATGGTTTTAGATGAAGGTCAAAATAAATGAGAAAGCATTTGGAGATAAAAATAGAAATAAAAAAATTATACTGCAATCAAAGACATTGCTATCTATACAGGTTTAAATTTTTCAAAGGGCACCAGATAGTCAAAAAAATAATAAATAGTTTTAGCCAAAATTGCATGTGAATAACACAGAAGTATTAAATTAGAATTACATAACATCACAAAATATGTCTTTGAAATACAAATTAAGCTAACCTCCTCATGGGCATCTAGTCCTGTCTATGTAGGGCAGAGTGTAATTGTATTAAGACTTCTATTGTTTGACAACAAACCAAGTACGATTGAGATTGCATTTCCAAGTCTTCAAAAGTTTCAGATGTTGTGTGTTTGAGTTTAAAAGCTTCAAAATGCATCATAAGAGGCTAAAGGGGAGTTCACACTGACAGTGATTGAACTGCTGGAGGTTACCAACTCGTTGTGCATTTGGTTTCTAGTAGTCATTCTCTTTCAACTGCATGGCAGCAGATCCATGTACTCCAATTGGAAGACGCTGCGTTGCTTTGATGCTTATTTGCCTAACGTTGAGCTCACAATGGTTCAGATATTGGCAGCTCTTTAAAATGAATATCTTCGGTGGCCAGTTGCCAGGGCCGTTTTCAGCCAGCATCACTACAGAACCTTTAATGGTCTCATATCACCCGACTGTATAACAATTCTGTGTCACATCTGAATGGATCAAGCACCTTGCGCTGTTTATCTCTTATAAATCGTGGCATAAGCGCGGCGCACGTTCATCAGCACTGTGCGGGAGACTAGTCCCGCTGGCGGATGCATCGGGTAGCGCTGCCTTGCGGTTTCGCATGCGCTGTAATTTAAAAACAGTGCCTAATATCAGGGAGGTATCCCTCGTTTCAGCAATCAGCTCACTACTCGAATGGAATGTCCCGGTGCTCCCGATGGCCAGCAGGCGATCGCGGGTCCCCCAGACCTCTGGGCCCTATGCACTCTGTCACACTTTTCCCCCTCACTAGCGATGCCCCTGCCGGTTTCACAAATAGCATGTACAATAAATCGCAGCAAATCTATACAGGTGGAGCTGGGGAAGGTGAAGGGTTTAAGAGTAACTCTGAAAGTGTGCCCTGAAAAGCTCTAGTGAATGCTAATAAACCATTTAAATGTGACCCTGGACCACAAAACCAGTCTTAAGTGTAAATTTTTCAAAATTAAGAATTATACATCATCTGAAAGCTGAATACATAAGCTTTCCATTGATGTATGGTTTGTTAGGATAGAACATTATTTGGCCAAGTAACAACTATTTGAAAATCTGGAATCTGAGGGTGCAAAAAAATTTAAATACTGAGAAAATCGCCTTTAAAGTTATCCAAATGAAGGCCTTAGCAATGCATATTACTAATCAAAAATTAAGTTTTTATATATTTACGGTAAGAAGTTTACAAAATATCTTCATGGACCATGATCTTTACTTAATATCCTAATGACTTTTGGCATAAAAGAAAAATCTATAATTTTGACCAATACAATGTATTTTTGGCTATTGCTACAAATATACCCCAGCGACTTAAGCCTGGTTTTGTGCTCCAGGGTCACAAAGGTAAAACAGCTCATTGACCACGTATGCAACATGAACCAATTAGCTAGTGCCAAGTAGTTTAACGCTGTGAATATCATTAGTTTGTTTTAAAGACCCCCCAGCCTGCGCCATCTAGAGTTTCATGACAGAACTTGACATTAAGTAAGACTGATTACCTTTTGGTTAACTGTTAAGTAGTCAAACTATAGAAGTCAACATTTGAAGTGGATCAAAAAAGTTAATCAAAGTTGTCCTGAGACAAGAACAGGTATTGTTTTGGTTTTAGGACAACTTTGATGAAAGGTTCTGATCCACTTCAAATGTTGACTAGTGTAGTTCTTAAGGCACAGTTTTAACATGAATGCTAAGTTTATGCAACTGCCCCCGGTATCAATTGCTTCGCTGCCAATGTGAAAGCCCTTTACCACCATTTTTTGTCATGATATTTGTGTTACGTTGTTGAACTCTTTACGCATATTGACGTTGTTTGTTAACGCATTGTTTCTCTAAGGACCCCACTAATGGATACTACAGCGTGAACACCTTTAAGGAGCATCATGGCACCCCGACCACGCTGGCCGGAAACCAGACCACAGAGCTTCGCCGAGACCCTGCCACAGCCACCACTGGCAAGCAGCGGGTTCCCACTGGAATGTCTTTCACCAACATCTACTCTACCTTGGGTGCTGGACCCAACCGCCTGTACGACTACAGCCAGCGGTTCGTGCTGGGCATGGGCAGTAGTTCCATCGAGCTTTGCGAGCGAGAATTCCAGCGAGGATCGTTGAGCGATTCCAGCTCTTTCCTGGACACACAGTGCGACAGCAGTGTCAGCAGTTACAGCAAGCAGGACGGCTATGTGCAGTTCGACAAGGACAGCAAGGCCTCTGCCTCAGCCTCTTCCTCATCCCATTACTCTCAGTCATCTTCCCAGAACTCAGACCTCACGCGGCCACTGCAGAAACGCATGCAGACCCACGTCTGACTGCAGGAGATGGACAGAAGACAGAGGAATCCAGCGCTGGGATTGGCCACAGGGGATTGAATCCCCCCCAGAAGAGAATCAGGAACCAGTTCAAGCACATCTAGCACGCCAGTTTCATTTTATCCTCCACTTCTTTTGCTTTTAACGTTTCTTTGATATATGTGGATTTCTTCATTTGTCCAGATCTTATTTAAAGCTCTGAAAAGCCTTACCGGTTTCAGAACCTTGTCTTGGCCCTTCCAAATGCCCCAATTATCTGGACAAAAAACCTCCTCTAAACAACAGTGTGCCACAGTGATGTTACTTGCCAACGTAGAAAGAACCTCTGAACAGAACTAGTGTCCTTGTTGTAGTTACTTTGAAACGGCTCGGAATGACCTCCTCGAAGAAAGCATAACAATATTGCTCAAATGAGCTCTTTGAAGAGAGTTGATGAAGGCTACACTTCATACCTCTGTAGTCCATTCACTCCTCTGCACCACTAGAGAACAATGATCTGTTGCTCTTGTACATTAAAGCACAACTGTCAAAGTTGTATGTAAAACTTCTCAATGCCTCTACCACAGCTATCTAAACAAATTATATA